ACTTTGATGCCTGGACTGAACTCCTGATCTTAAGCAATCCTCCTGTCTCAACCTCCCAAAGTGCTGGGATTACAGGTGTGAGCCACTATGCATGGCTCTGCAAACCCTTTTTATAGTGGCATTAATCTGCTCTGCCATCATGACCTGAACACCTCTTAAAAGGTCCTGTCACCCAACACTGTTGCACTGGGGATTAAGTTTCAACACATGAATTTTAGAAGGGCACATTTGAACTATAGCAGTCTATTTCATCTAAGTTGTCAATTTATAGACATTAAATTTTTCACATTATTAATTAATTATTCTTTTAATACCTTTGGAATTTGTGGTGAGTCACCTCTCCCATTCACGATATTGGTAATTTATGTCTTTTCTTTTTCCTTTTTTTTCCAGTCAGGGTCTCACCTATTCACCAGGCCAGAGCGCAGTGGCATGCTTACTTTCTTTATGTTCTTATAACTTAGATTATGAAGGATTCTGGCCTTGCTGAGGATCCCATCTGTGAGTGGTGGTTTTTGGTTTGACATAAATCATAGTCAAAATTTTCTTAAAAACAAGTTTCCTTGTTCCTGAAATTCAGTCAAATTTTGAGTGAGAGGAGACAGATGTAATTTCATCAGAGTCTCACCAATATTGAGAACTATCGCTCTGTAAAGGCCAATTGCTTCCAAATACATACCCATAGCGCTGTGTGCTATTGTTTAAGAATTATTTTTGATACTTATTTAATATATAGTTTGCTGGACCCTGCTTCTAGAAATCCTGGTTCATTCGGTCTGGAATGAAGCCAGGAAATCTTTTTAATAAGCCTCCCAGTGATTCTGATAGGAGGCTAGCATTGAGAGCCACGGGAGCAGGTGACCTTTTAAAACTGCTGTCAGTGCTGAGACAGCCAGGTCTAGGAGTACTGGGTGGGTAGGTGCTGCCCTCTAGTGTCTCTGGCTGCCATCTAGCGATACTCGCTCCACGTCTGCATAGTGTGGTAACCTACTGTGTGACCTCTAGGTGCCTCACACTACTCTGGGGCTTTATTTCCAACTCTCTAGAAATTTTAGCTCTTGGGCATCAATAAAGATGCTCATATGTAAAAATGTTTCTTCTGAACGGCAGTAACCATGACTCTCTGTCCCTGGCATCTTGGTGCAGCTTGGGTGTTCACTAGTGTTTTCTGAATTTGAGACAAGGCAAAGCTTTTTCATAAGACTTGTGTGGAGGGACGAGACTCTCATCTGTGGCATGACTGTCAGGATGTTTCTTTGCAAGGCTATGTGACCCCTAATACTTATGACTTGGTAGCCATGAGCAGTTTCCTAAAGAAATTCTATGACAAGAACTGTGGCACTGCAGCATTATAGTGAAAGCAGGGACTGGCTGAACAAGTTTTCTAGAAAGAAATGAAGAATCTCTCAGAATTGTGTAGCCCTCCAGTGTCCATGAAGGCGACACATACACTTCATCTCCCTTGTTTGTGGTTCACTCTCAAACCTGGGGCAGGAAGGGCAATGTGGTGACCTATACCCGTGACGTTAAAAATGACAGATGTAGCTTTGTTCATTACGTGAATGTAATGTTAAGGAAGACACTGATCCCACTGTCCTGCCCACACAAGCACCCTTCGTCTATGAGTCCCAAATCAGCAAATAAGCCTGTGCTAAATGCCTACTCTGCAAGAAGGCGTAAGACCATTTTTGGCTCAGCCCTTGGCTCTCACTGCTCAGCTCTGAGACAGAGGAGCAAGGGCCATGCGAATGAGTGGAGGGGAGTTTGCAGCATGTGCTTTTAGTGGCTTGGTCGGATGACAGTGGCTGTGGGTTATCTGTGAGGAAAATAGTGCACTGGAGGGAGCAGGTGCGAGGTTTGCAGAATGTGGTAATTTTGCCTGGGGCAAGAGGTCAGGCTAATGGGCAACTGAGAACTGTTGTAGCTGCACAGGGCGTAGCAGCAGTTGCTGGAGCAGAAGTTGGTTGTGGGGAGTAAATGAAAGTAATAAAAGATTCAACCCACTTTGTAGGTATGTTGACCCGCTACTAAAAAACTGATGCTAGTCGCTTTTTAATTGATCTTTGTTAACCTATCATCCAGTGCTCTTTGGCTGATAAAGTGCTCTCGGGCAACCCCTTCGGGTCCCCACCCACTGTGAGAGCTTTTCTGTCCTATCAATAAATCCTGCTTTCAAAAAATAAAAAAATAAAGCCCTCTCTTTCCTGTATTATAGAATGTGCAAGTTCAGGAAAGAAATTGGCATAGCTCAAATTCATCCCATCTTCGGATGAGATTCTTCTTAAATTATCTTTGATGTAAGAACCGGTTTTGCATTTGTAGCTGTAAGAAGGACGTTTAAGAAAAACATTCACAGCTGGGTTCGGTGGCTCAGCCTGTAATCCCGCACTTTGGGAGGCTGAGGTGAGTGGATTGCCTGAGTCCGCGGGTTCGAGACCTGCCTGGGCAACTTGGCGAGAGCTCATCTCTACAATGAATCAAAAAATTAGCTGGGCGTGGTAGTGCACGCCTGTAGTTCCAGCTACTCGGAAGGCTGAGGTGGAAGGATCGCTGGAGCTCAGTAGATCGAGGCTGCGGTGGCCGGGAGCGGCCACTGCATGCCAGTCTGGGTGACAGAGTGAGACTCCAACTCAAAAAAAACCCCAAAAAACATTCACTAATCCATTTGTTTGTCAAATCATTCCCAGAATATTCTTCCTTATAGCTATAAAAACAAAACAAAACACTTTGTGCTAATGATTATTGTTGTTTGTTCTTAAATTGTGGTTAAGATATACTTAACATAACATTAACCATTTTTACATATAAAATGCAGTGTTATTAAGTACATTCACTTATGTATGGGATGGTCATATTTATCATCCCAAGTGGGAACTCTGTAAATAACAGCCCACATTCCCTCTTCCCCAGTCCCTGCCAAGATTGGCTCTTGCTTCAAGTGACTTAATCTTGACTTTGAAACTAGAATTTTTAAGTGTCTTGAGAGCAGGTAGGCAACACAACTCGAGTGTCTTTGTACCCCAGTCTAGGACTGAGCACATATTGAGGGCTCATCATTTCTGTTTGATGGAGGACTGAATGCTGGAGGAAGGACCAAGTAGCCTTTCCAGAGATTTTGAGCCCAAGACTACTTTTTTTTTTAATTTATGGGGCTTTTTTGGTTGTTTTTTTTTTTTTTTTTTTTTTTTGGAGTCTCACTCTGTCACCCAGACTGGAGTGCAGTGGTACGCTCCTGGCCACCGCAGCCTCGACCTGCTGGGCTCCAGTGATCCTTCCGCCTCTGCCTTCCAAGTAGCTGGAACCACAGGTGCATGCTACTAAGCGCGGCTAATTTTTTTTTTTATTTATTGTAGAGATGAGGTCTGGTCAATTTGTCCAGGCAGGTCTCAAACCCGCGGACTCAAGCAATCTACTCAAGCAATCAGTCCAAGCGTGGGATTACAGGCTGAGCCACCGAGCCCGGCTAATTTATGGTTTTTACTATAATTTTTTTTTTTTTTAGTTGGAGTCTCACTCCGTTGCCCAGGCTGGAGTGCAGTGGCACACTCACGGCCACCCCAGTGTCGTCCTGCTGGACTCCAGCAATCCTTCCGCCTCAGCCTTCCAAGTAGCCAGAACTACAGGCCGCACGCTACCACACCTGGCTAAATTATAATTTTTAATTGACAAAAATGGACATATTTATGGTGCACAACATGAGTTTTTTAAGTGCGTGTTTGGAATGGTTCAATCAAGCTAATTAACGTATGCATTATCTCATTTGCTTATCTTTTTTGTGGTCACATGGGGTTTTTTAAACTTTTTTTAAAATTATAAAGGTGTGGGGTACAATTCAGGGTTAGATATACAAACGATGATTATGCAGGTAACCTTGTTGATGAGGTATGCCCCTCCTTACCCTGGCAGTTTCCTGAAACTGCCAATCATTCCCCCTCCCAACAGTTTCCCACAACTGCCAATCTTCCCCCCTCCCACCCCCAAGACTACTCTCTTATCAGGGCAAGAACTTCTCAAGGAAATTCAGAATGGTAGGGTTTTAGGCGCATGGCATATTATTGCCAGGGGTCATAAAGTTAACATTAATGTGTGCATCAATGGACATAAGGAGTGGGAGGTACTGGGGTTGAATGGGGAAAATCTCACCCTGTCTAAAGCTTTTCAAATTTAGATTTTCATCAAATGCTCTTTCAGTCAAATATTCTGACCATGACAGAGTCAGCTGAAGAGCCACAGATTTGTGATCCTTAATAAAAAGTCTTGCCGATAACCCATTTCCACAGATAACCAGGTGGTATAAGACCTTTAGCGGCAATTCTGAAAAATCAAGCCTTGGACAGAGCTCCAGAAGTGAGCCTCATTCATGTACCTCCATGAACGTTTAGAATCTCATCTCAAGTTGGACCACACAGACTGAGAGGAATCCTTTAACTTTCCGAAAATTATTTAAAAGGACAGCAACTTTGTCCTTTCTTGGACACGTTTTTCACCACCAAAAATCTGTTTTCCAGACTTAACGATGTGATACCTGTGTCCTATGCTTCTGTGTGTTTTTTAGTTATCTTTCCAGTATGTAGTTCATGGAGTTCCTCTGACCTGGTAGTTTCTGTCCCTCTTACGGGGCATGCAGCGTGCCCTACTCTCTGGGGATAGATGCCAGACTTTTGTAGTAATGGAGAGAGCTAAGCCATCAGGGTACAGGAGTAAAGGGAGCATGAACAGGTATGTGCTGCCTGTGACTCCGGCACCTTTCATGCCAGGTTCAACAACCCATGCAGACAGATAACCTCATCTGAACACTGAATTAGCACATAAGCTTCTCTAAAACGGATACAAGTCTGTGATGCTATCCCTGCCTTGGAGAAAAAGGGGGCTTTGTGATGCGGTCTGGTAGTTTAGATCCATCTTCTGTGAGGCAAAAATGACAAGGTCTAGAATCTGGAGGCATGAGGTTCCAAGACACTGGAAGCCTAGGTAGAAGGATGGCTAGTGAGATTTAGACCATGTTGAGCCCTACCTTTGTTCCTTGGGATGTTGGATATCCCCTCTACACCTATGGATCCATCTGTATTATTGCATTAATCATCTGGCAAATGAAAAAGAGCCGCCAAAAATTAAGGCTGGAACCTAACAGGAGCTGTTACCGGGTAGGGAAACACTATAACCATGACTAAATTGATAAGCCTCAAACAAGATTTTATCCTCCTATTTTCTCTTGTTAACTTTATCCCTTGCTTTTTTTTTTTTTTTTTTTAAAGCAGGGTTTATTAAGTGAACAGAAAAGCTCCCACAGTGGGAGGGGACCCGAGGAAATTGCCCTCCCTTGCTTTTTTTTAAAGGGGGATTTCCTTACTGGATCCCAGAACAGCTCCCAATTTGGGTGATTATTCTGGCTGGTGTTCCTTTAGGGCCTTGATAGCTGAAGTTCTTTGGCTACTACAACCACCCATCATTCTTTAATCGATTCCATGTTTCTCTATCTTACTCCGAATTCCCACAGAATTTATCAAAAGAATGAGGGTGGCATGGAGTATGGAAGAGCTTGAAAGTAAGTCAGAAATAAGCAGAGAAGGAAAACATTGGGATGAAAAAGACAGAACACAGAAAGGAAAGGTAGAAGAATATATAAAATTGGAATACAGAAAATGGAGAAATGTTTATGAATTTTGTTCCATTTTAGACATGGCAAGAAAATTGTATACCAGCATCACATTTTGAGGTTTTTGTCTTTAAGTGTCATGAATTTTGTTTCACTTTAGACTTGGAAAGAAAATGGTGTTCCAGCTTCACATTCTAATGTTTTTGTCTTTTAAGTGTCACCGCAGAATCAAACAAAGGTCTAGAGAGAGAACATCAAGAGGTAAAGTCCCAGTCTCTCCTCTGACTCACTTCTACTGTGTGTAAGCTTCACATGGATCCCGACCCTCTATTACCCCTGGTGCCAGAGTCATGTCTTCTAACCACTGAAGGCTCCAAGACCCCCAAAGACAATGTCTTCCAGAACTCCTCTTTAAGTGGAAAACCAGAGTCTGGGAGCATTCTAAAACTCTCCACCTTACTTTCCTGAGAATGAAGAATGAAGTAGAATAGAAGTCCTCAACTGTGTCATTCCCTATTTTTACAACCCTGTGGAAGTTACTTCAACTCTTAGTCTTGTTCTGCATAAAATAAGCAAAACACACTTCCTCACTCACAGTGTGGTTGTGAAGACCAAATGAGATGCGGACAGGACAATACATTGTATATGGTTACATTGTACACAGATACAACTTAGAGCACTGACTCTTGGGGTTTTCAGTCTCTTCTCATTCAAAGGCCATTAGCTTCCTATAGGGTGTCCCTGAATCCTCTGCTATTCCATGTAACCCTATGTCCTGGTTCCTCAGCTAGGAGAACTTCCCAGAAAGAAGCCGAGAAGCTGCAGGAGCTGCTCTCTGTCATGAAAAGGTGATCTCTTGGTCTTTGTATTCTCCCAACTCCCACCCTGGCCTGTGACAATTTCTTGGTGTGGCCTGGGGCAGGGATAAGGAGAAGGAATTGCTGGGAGGGAGATATACACAGTGCGGGCTGCATCACTAGTTAAGAGGGTTTCCAGGGTAAACTGGTTTCCAAACATCTCAGACGAGCATCCAATTCTGCTTTAGACTAGTGTCACAGAAGACCTGGAATTCATGATTAAACTAGAGCATATTTCATTTAAAAAAACTCTACAGGGGGTTGCACTCGGCCAAGAGACAAGTTATCCAGACAAGATAATGGGTTTTTCATGAAGAAGCCATCATTGTCATATTCTCTTTACAGATGTACCGTTTCTGTTTTTTTTTTCTTTTTTCTTTTTTGAGTGGGATTCTCACTCTGTCGCCCAGGCTGGAGTGCAGTGGCTTGCTCACAGCCACCACAGCCTCGACCTGCAGGGTTCAGGCAATCCTTCCGTCTCAGTCTTCCAAGTAGCTGGAACTACAGATGCACGCCGCCATGCCCAGCTAATTTTTTGATTTATTGTAGAGACGAGATCTTGCCAAGTTGCCCAGGCTGGTCTTGAATCTCTGGGCTCAGGCAGTCCTCTCGCTTTGGCCTCCCAGAGTGCTGGGATTATAGGCGTGAGCCACAGTGCCTGGCCCAGGGGTATCCTTTCATGGGAAGACCCCCTTGAGTCTGGCTAGACCCTGCTGATGTTTGTTCCCTCCTCTGGTTCTGTCTTGAGGGAGGCCAGTTCCTGGGAGATAGCCCTTAGGAGACTATCATCTTATCCTCTTAAAATTTCTAGATTATAGAATTGATTCTCAAGCGACATTGGGCACAGCAGCAGGGATATCCGTTAGTCTTCAGAATGTAGGGGTCCTACAAGGATCTCATTTTACATTTAGGTTGATGTACTAAATACCAGACTTTGGGTTTCTTAGCCTCAAATAAGACTGATCCAGGTTCAACCTGGTGATGTTCCTGGTGATACCCTATCAGTTAACCAAGTGGCTCCCCATCTACTTAGTTCTCTTCTCCCACTTCAGCTTCCCAACAAGGTCAGCAGAGAACTGACCCCAGCTCCCAATCCTCTGAGCACCGTGCCATCTCAAGGGTTGTCTGAGACCTTGCCCAACAAGCCCCAGACCCTCAGCCCAACCCACCGTCCCAGCTAGATGGCATTTTCTAAGGTCAAAAGGTAGAGGGACAGACATCAAGGGGTGTAGGCCCTAGGACTTACAGGACTAGGGAAGGGAAGTGCCGAGCCCAGTCCACACTCTTCCAAGAAGGCACATGTAACTTCATCATTAACATTGCCATGTTTCTCTTCCCAGCCAAGGCTGGCTTCCTCAGGTGGAAGGTGTGCGGCGGCTCCTGTGTACAGATCCCTGCTGTCAAATCTGCAATGATGTGGCTCTGGAGATTCAGCAGTTGCTGGAGGGTGAGAACAACCAGAACTCACCTACTTTATTGGGGCAAACTCAGGGCTCTTCTCACCTAGATACTTTGTCCATGTCTGGTGAGTCCTTTGAGCCGAGTCTGGAGCTGGGTTCCCAGAGCTCCAGAGCAGTTTCGCCGGCATTTATAACCCCAATACCGACACAATTAATGGATCAGAAACCTTTAACCCAGTCAGCAGACCAGTCAACCGGTGCAGTCAATGTCCAAGATTGCTGGACTGATTACCTTCAGCAAGGGCAGAAATTTCAAGTTTCAGATGTGTCTGAGGTCATGGGATTGCTGCCTCCTTCAAGCTTAAAGGAGCCCGGGATTTCTCCGAACCAGCAGGAGACGAGGAAGAAAAAGTCCCAATTTGTCCTGGAGAACCAAGGTTAGCAGCCCTTGAATACTATATTCCCGTTCTTCCCTGGGTCCATAGCTCTCAAACCTAAAACAATACCCTGTGACCCTGTATTCCCTTCACCTGCTGTTCCTATGTCCAAAATGCTCTGAGGTACCTTTAAGTACAAGGACATAAATGCATGCATTTCCACACTTGTGGGCTCCCAAGATCTGTGGAGGAGTTCCCGGGGCACCTTATACCACACCACTTCCAATGTTTTCAAAGCCTAGAAAACCAATCAACCAATATTTTTTTCATCCTGAATGCCCTCTAAGACTTTTGTTGAAAAGACGAGCTTTCATCTCTGATTCTGGAAGGCCAGTTCATCCACTCAAGTTTTTTGGGTTTTTGAAGGATCCACTATGGACTCAGAGCAGAAATATCTGGGCCCAGATATCTGGAGAAAATCCCAAACCCCATGGCTCTGGGTCTACCCTCTCCCCACTTTCAGCTTCTAAGTGGTCTCTTTCCATTGCTTGGAAAACACACTGAGGTCTCAGTGTGCCGTTTGCAGTTGCCTTGCCATGGTTTCTCTTTTTGATAAAGTAAGTCCCTGCCTATAGAGATCTCTCCACAATAGGGAAGTCCTTGGCCCTTTCTCTTTTTTTTTTCCTGAGTTGGAGTCTCACTCTGTCGCCCAGACTGGAGTGCAATGGTTGCTCCCGGCCACTGCAGCCTCGACCTACTGGGCTCCAGTGATCCTTCCGCCTCGGCCTTCCAAGTAGCTGGAACTGCAGGCGTGTGCTACCACACCCAGCTAATTTTTGATTTATTGTAGAGATAAGGTCTCGCCAAGTTGCCCAGGCGGGTCTCGAACCCGCGGGCTCAGGTAATCCACTCACCTCGGCCTCCCAAAGCACTGGGATTACAGGCTGAGCCAGCGAGCCCGGCCGTCCCTTTCTCTTCAATGATTTTTCCTAAAACTTCCCTCACCTCAGTTAGTCCCACCTTCTTCCCTACGTTTGGGCTTCTCCACCTGACCACTGACAAACCCAGATCCATGTCCCACATCTTGACTCTGGCCAAGGAAAGCCTTGGAGTGACTGTAGAGGCAGCTCCAGCTTCAGTGGAATTTGCCAGCTGTTGCCCAGAGGTTGCAGTAGATGCAGGGAACCTTACAAAGTAAGGTAACCTTACAACGGACCCTCTCTGATTGAGGAAGTCAATTCCAGTCCTCAAGAGGGAGGTAGTATTCTCCTGGAGCATGCCCAGAGGCTGCTGGGGTTCCACTTCCAGGAACCACTGAAGTAACAGGTTGATTTGCCATTGCCGAGCTTGCTCCAAAAGATCCAGCAGTCTATTCAGTTGCTCCAGTCCCCGGCTGACCAGCAATCCTTGCCCTGGAGCAGCACAGCCCTGACCTGTGTGAGTGTCCCCCAGCCTTCAGCACCAGAGGCCAGTGGGAATAGTGACCACACTGATCCATGGTGGCAGCAGGGCCGGTCCATGGCTGCTTGCTCAGGCAATGTCAGAGCCACGCATAACAAATGTGAGGAGATCTGCTAGGGCATTGTTCCTGCCCATATCTGCAGTTGTTGAGATTGCAAATCACTGGCTCTGCAACTTTCCAGGGGCCCAGGTAGCAACTTGGTCACCCTGTCCTCTGGAAAGCAAACACCTAGACCAGGAGGCAGCAATCAGCCCCTGTAAAGATCAGGAAGTGAAACTCTAAATACTGACAGGCTTGACCAACAGCAGCAAGCCTTACCAGATGCTGTTATTGATGGCCCTGAGTTGCCTGGACCCTGTCTCAGTAAGCCACTGAGAAACATGAGACAAGTTTTGGCCTTTCTGTCAGGGCTTCCTGCTCTCTATTATACTGTGGCTTTCTCCAGGGCTATGGCTCTAGGCAATCATTTGCCAATCTACTGTGGAGGATTGGGCCCATTAGAGCCTCTAACTCAATCTCATCTGAATAGCAATGTATAAGTCCCGGCCCACGCTTTCAGGCTGCCAATGAGACTTGTGCAGACGGTGTACAAATGTCCCAGACTGAAATACAAGTAAACGGAGATGGTGCCTCTTGACAGCCAGACAGATCCTGATAGCCCCTAATCACACAAGACACATGTCTTGGTCAAACTAAATTTCTACCTGAAAAATAAATTCCTGGAGATAAATTTGGGAAGTTCCATAAAGACAGAGGAGTCCAGGGAAAAAATTCTGGCCATCTCAAAGAATATTTCCACCTAAGGATCTTTAAGAGTCTAAACATTGCTAAACCAAGGGAAAATATTGCTCTAGGAGCTCCCTATCCCACCAGCCATCCAATGTGCCCCAGATCCAGTATGGGCCTGCTTAAAATAATAGTTTGCAGTTGAACTAAAGGCAATGCAGCAGAGCTAAAAGCAACCAAGTTCCAGAGAGGATTCCATGGTTTTGCCCACCGGACCTCTGAGATCTCACAACCCAGAGCACACATAACAGAGGCCCAGGCATTTATGTTCATCTGGAGCCTAGAGCGAACAGTCCAGCCTGGACCCCACAGCCCAGGCCTTTGCAAGAGTGAGAACAAACCCCTACTTTGGTAGAGAAAACAGAACTCAGTGAAATTTGAAGCAGCATGGAATCGCATAGGAGGTGGTGCAGCATTGGGGCTCTCCCCAGCCAGAGAACACCAATTCTATTGAGGTTCAGAGGCCAGTAGGGACACATCAGCAGAACTCCAGAGCCTATGACTTCCCAAATATCTCTCCAGGATCTTTCTTAGGTAAAATTTTAGTTTAGCCAAGATGGTTTCCTGGAGTAGGAACTCACAAGGATCTGTCTGGAGCTGTAGAGCCACCATCTCCATCCTCTCAGTGCTGGCTACTGCATGCCAGTATTTTCGCCTGCTCACTTTAAGTTCCTAAGGCATCCTCCAGGATTACTTGGGGCAAAAGGACCAGACAGGAATAGTTTGCAAGGCTGTTGGTGTAAGCTGAATGTCCTCATCCAAACAATGATTCCTGAGAATGCCAAAGATGGGGTGCCCAGGCCTTAAAAGGCCAACTTACTGAGCCATTATTTGCTGGACCAAATTTTGCAAGTTCAGTATGTGAAAGGGTCAAATTTTCAGATCCATTGTTTTCAGGGTCAAATATTTCAGGGTCATGTTTTGCAGGGCAAAAATGGGCAGGGCAAAAATGTTCAGGGCCATACTTTCCAGGGCCAAGAGCTGTAGGGTCTGGTAAGGGCAGCTCATACTCACAAAAGCTCTACCCTTCCAGAAGCTTCAGAAGTTGGCTTGGGAAATAAGATGAAGATCTTTCTGCACTGGATTAACCCCGAAATGAAAGGTCAAAGACCTGAGGAATCCATTCTCCTCCCTAAGGCTGAGACATTGGCCAAAGCCAAGACAAAAAACGTTGAGAAGAGTCTATCCCTCCCCAAAGACCCTGTGGGGGGTGCTAACTCGGAGAAGACGACAGAGGACCCTGAGGCCCAGCTTCCCCCTCCTGATGAGGAAGGCCTGACCTTCTGTGATGCCCCCCAATATTGAGACAATCAGTTCTAGCAGCACTTCCTTCAGTCTGGCCAGTCCTGGGGCCTATGCCACTTTCACAGCTGCTTCAAACTCTGTCTTCTACTGACTGTGCCACCCAACCAGGAAATCTATCCCAGGTCTCAACTCTTACCTCAGCAGAAAGCACTGATTTATATAAGGAGAATACCCATTCCAAGCAAGAAGAGTTTGTAGGTTCCTGAACCTCTGAATCCCCCTGAAAAAGGCTGTCGTCACCATTTCCATCAGCATGCATTTGAGGCAGGGACTTCTCCAAATATACTCTATATCTGTAAGCAAAGAGCCACCTGTTTGTGCTTCCTTATTTTCAATGTGGTATATGATAGAGAGAGAGAGAGTAGAGGACCTAAAAAATACTTCCCACATGGTATAGGAGCTTAAATCCACATTTCATTTCAGATGGGTCTGCATTCCACATGACTCCTCCCAGTCCCACCCTAGACTGTGGATAAAGGGACTTGAACAGAGAAGGAAGGCCCTTGTTTAAGGTGCATTGAAGGTAAATGTCAGGCTTGAATTCTGTCATGATTTCCCACGGTGTGCTTGGGCCCAGAGAAGCAATGTGGACACCATGATAGTAGAAGTAGTGGTTAGGAATCTAACACGTTTTTGGCCCACAAGCAAAATTCATTAATAACTTCTATATAGCATATGCCCACAATCTGGAGAGAAGGTTTTTAGAATGCCACAGTTCTTCCTCATTGAGAAAGAGCTTTTGTGTTATCAAACGCACACAGCTAATGTGACAGATGTCAAAACCAAATATTACAGTATCCCTGTCTTTTCCCTGTTGTTATTGAGTTCTTCAAGGGTAACCCATCTGGGAGCCTGCTGTAGCCCTATTGTCTCTTCTGACCCCCATTGCCTTTCAGCTACATGGAAGGAAAGCTGCCTAGAATGAAGATCAGTTGATGAGGAGGTCCTTATAAGGGTCACAATAAAAATGACTTTGAGCTGAGTCTTGCATTCCACAATTCAAATATTCAAGTACTTACTATGTGCCAGACAGTAGAGATACAACAGTGGACAATACACAGGCCTTGTCTCATGAAGCTCATGGACTCTGGGACAGACAGTCATATAAAAAGTCATTGGGAGCAACAGGATAAGAGCTGGTTAAAAGAAATAGATAAAGGTACACAGGTAGGCACTTAACCTAGTTTTGGGGGTGTTCATGGAAAGTTTCCTGAAAGAGGTAATGTTTAGGTTGAGTTTCAAAGGATGTGCAGGAGTTAGCCAAGAAGGAGGTGGGGAGTAGGTAGGCTTCCCAGGGTGAGAATATAACATGAGCAGATATTGAAAGTGGACTGGATAAAAAAAAAATGTGGTACATATACATGATGGGATTTTTTTTTTTTTTTTTTTTTTTTTGAGTTAGAGTCTCACTCTGTCACCCAGGCTGGAGGGCAGCGGCACGCTCATGGCCACCGCAGCCTCCACCTGCTAGGCTCAGGCGATCCTTCTGCTTCAGCCTCCCAAGTAGCTGAGACTACAGGCACATGCCACCAAGCCTGGCTAATTTTTTCATTTATTGTAGAGATGAGTCTTGCCATGTTGCCCAGGCTGGTCTCGAACCTGTGGGCTCAGGCAATCTTCTCACCTCTGTCTCCCAAAGTGCTGGGATTACAGGTGTGAATCAACACACCCAGCCATGGTGGAATATTAATCCAACCGTAAAGAACAAAATTATGGCCTTTGCAGCAACATGGATGCAGCTGGAGACCATCATACTAAGTGAACTATCACAGAAACAAAGAACTGAGTACCACTTGTTCTCTCCCTCATAAGCGGACCCTGATCACTGCTCACACAAGCACAAGGGTAGGATCAGTAGACGCTGGACACTGCAAGGGGAGGGGGGAGGGCAGGGGGACACATGGCAACACACAG